CCCCAAAACCCCAAAACCCCAAAACCCCTTAGTTCGTACATTATGTTTAAATCTATGAGAAGAAATTTAAAATTTAAACATTATTAAAGTAAGAAAAATTGACTATAAAGAGAAATGGAACCAAACTATCAATAGCAGGCTAATGGCAACAACTCTAAGCTAGGTAATGGAGCAGGTGGGCCGCCTAAATAATTCACAATCAATGACCTCCCAGTTATTATAAGAATTTCAAGGTAAAATCAAACAAAATATGAATATATTGGCAATAATGATGGTTTTTTAGAGAATAAGCAGTCCTTGGAAACTATAGAGAATCACTTAACAATTACAAAAAAGCAGTTTAAGTCATTAAGAAGTAAGTCTATGATAGTCCAATCATTTCTCATTTATATGACTATGCATGCTTTAAATAATTGATGTTAACTTTGATAATAGTCATAACACGAATATAATGGATGCATTCGTCAAAGAAAGGTGGACATAATTTACCAATGATATCTTAAAGGAGCATAAGACCATTGTTGAGATGCACCAATCTATGCAGAAATTCAAAGTATTCAATCTATTCATCTCAATACTCATATAGGATACCCCACTATTAGATGACTCTTTGTACAGTCTAGAGTTTAAAAAGTAAAATTAGTCCAAAGCCCCTCTAGACAGCGATAGACAGATCAAATCTCATAAGGCAGGTTCAAATTTAAGTAATAATGGCAACTTCAATTAAGGACTGTAAAACAACCTCATCAACAGGCAGAAGAGTCCACTTATCAATAACTTTCACCAAGGGTCAACACCCACTGCATAAAGCAATAATCAAGGACCAAATAATATTGTACTGCAAGGGCAGGGTTACAATAGATAGAACTCAGTTCCTCAGTCGTTGTAGCAATAGAGACCTCATGCTAATAATGGTCAAGGACATAATGAGCATGTTCCAGTGCAGATCGTGGCACCCGATTAGAATTTACAGATTAAACCTTAAAAGTAAAACTAGGTTCCTTAGATTGACAGATTTGGAGGACTAGCACCCTTCCAGCATCATCATCTGAGCTAGGATGACATTGATAACCTCAATAATATGAACTAAGATAATAACAATAACAATTAGGATTATCCCCCATAGTACCAAGGTGATCCATTTACAGGGCAGTATGTTAACCATTAAATTTACGTCAAAAAGCCTAAGTAAAACTAGGTTGAGAAAAAAGACCCAGATGTCTGGGACCCACCAACACCCTCTAACAACTAGAGAAAGGTTGCAGGTAATAAGTGGAATGCCAAGAAGAAACTGAATATGCAGAAACCTGCAGGGAACGGCATGGGTGGTGGAATGCCAAACTACGGAGCAGGCATGGCACCCAATATTAAGAATATTGGGCCTCAGGTTTAAAAGATGAATAATTAGGGAGGTAAAGGAGCCTAGAGTAAGGACGCCAAAGGTCGTAACTATGATAAGCCCTGGTTGGCACCCGAAAAGAAGGAACCCTAGACATTCTTAGAGTTCTGCTATCCTGATGGTGTAGGTCCTGATGCAGATCTAATTCAGATGTTGGAGAGAGATGTGCTTGATAAGAATCCCTAGGTACAGTTTGATGATATAGCAGAGTTAGATGAGACTAAAAACTTACTTCAAGAAGCAGTGCTCCTACCTATATTGATGCCTCAGTTCTTTAAGGGCATCAGAAGACCTTGGAAAGGTATACTCATGTTTGGACCTCCTGGTACTGGTAAGACTATGCTTGCCAAAGCTGTAGCCACTTAGGGAAAGACAACATTCTTTAATGTGTCAGCAAGTAGTTTGGCTTCAAAGTGGAAGGGTGAAGCAGAGAAATTAGTAAGAATCTTATTTGAGATGGCTAGATTCTACGGGCCAAGTACAATCTTCTTCGACGAGGTAGACGCCTTAGCTGGTTCAAGAGGAGGTGGAGAGCATGAATCAAGCAGAAGAGTCAAGGCTGAGTTGCTTATTCAAATGGATGGAGTGTCCACAGCTAGTTCAGCTTCAGCCAATGAGGCTTAGGATGACACTGAAGCTAAAAAGAATGTGATGGTACTGGCTGCTACTAACAGACCTTGGGACTTGGACGAGGCCATCAGAAGAAGACTTGAAAAGAGAATATGTAAGTTTATGCATACATATAATATTTATCTTTAGATATCCCACTACCAACAGAAAAAGGCAGAGAAGAGCTATTCAAGATCAACCTAAAGAACATTGAGCTAGACGCAGACATTGACTGGAATAAGCTGGTGGAGATTACTGATGGCTACAGTGGAGCAGATATCTCTAACGTGTGTCGTGATGCAGCCATGATGCCCATGCGTAGAAAACTTTAATCAGCTTCCTTCAGCATAGCCAACATCTAGAAAATACAGAGTGAGATCGATATCCCACTGACTATGGTGGACTTCATGGAAGCTATCAAGAACATTTAAAAGTCAGTGTCTAAGGATCAACTCAAAGACTACTCGGAGTGGATGAAGATGTTTGGGTCTGTGTGATGAAAACAAAGGGAAGGTTCAAGTCTTAATGGATTGATACAAATATTGCAAGAATATTAAATCTCTATATGTAAAACATTGATCATAACAAATTAAAAAAGAACATTTGCAAATAGCTAGGGAATCAGGGGTTTTGGGGTTTTGGGG